ATAGTGGGATTGACCGTCACATTATAACGTCCTCACGGCTGAAAGGGCGAATATGTATGGTGGGACTGGGATTCGAACCCGCGACCAGCAGATTGCCAGTAGAGTTCCCTAACCACCTGGCCATGCCGGGCCATAGAGAATGTGGGGGGGGGGGTGAATTCAGTGATCACAATAACGGAGTTGTATATGATTAATTTTTCACAGCCTGTGTTCTTATTATGTTACTTGAATCTTTCTAGAGTATACGGAAGAAAAGAATAAAAGTATTAAAACCGTAATGATTGGAGTGGTGATTCTACTCTGTGTTATGCTGATCTGTTTGTTTACTTACCTCTGTAAAAAGTGAGTACTAAGCCTACAGTTAATACTTATAATGGTTATAATATCAAAATTAATTTACTAAAGAATATAACATTGTTAATAACGACAACAAACGTGGTATTTTTTAAGATTTTAGAAATAAATCAATTATTAAACGATATTTTTCATTTTAATTTATTCAAATAATCCTATGAATCTTTTAACATTAATAAAAATATCAATCAGAGTAGTTTATTATTCATCATTGAACATCGCTTTTATATTGACTCGGGCAATTTTTCTGTTTGAGATCAAAAATACAATTTCTATAGTTTTTAATGAAAATGTTCATTTATTTATTTTTTCTTAATTAGCCTCCAGTGGCTCAGCGGTAAGTCTGAAGGCTTATCGCTGAGTTACTGAATAGACCAAATTAAGAGCAGAAACAAATGTTTTATTAACTGTGAATTTAAACAATAAGTTGATTTAAATACTAGTTAATCATTTTATAACAATGCTAGTTTACGAACGTTTTGAAGATAAACCGGAAATAATGCTTTACAATTTATCTTTGATCTTTCAATACTATTGTATAAAATTTTACGAAACTATAAAAATAGACAAATGGCACAACAATGAAGAAACTCTTCATTTAAAAGAAAACTGTTAAGACGTCAATTACATAGTCGAAACACAACTTTAAAGGAAACTCTATAATAATTAATGCTAACTTCCGATAAGAGAAAGCTATCTATGTACTTAGAGTAAAATTAAAAATCACTTAGTAATAAGTGTAGCTAATTAAATATTCTTTTCTTGCTTTTCTACTTAAAAATATTAGAATGATTTGTTTCACCAATAGGGTATCCTCGCTCTTAATGATTTTTATAACCTGTTTTCCCATTGGTTAGAATTAATATCGTATGAAACTAGTAAGGCTTAACTAATATAATGAAACGAAGATTATTAAAAGAATTATTGAATTACAGAGAGTTAATCTTAGTTGATTCGAACAGATTGTATATTCTAACGCAGTGTAATGTCGCCGCAGACGCAGACATGTTTAACACCTAATATATATGTTGCCTACGAACGACATGTTTAACACCTACATATATGTTGCCTACGAACGACATGTTTAACACCTACATATATGTTTCACGACGAACTCGGATCATTCTACAGTACATTTCCAAAGAAAAATATCCATTCAGCAAGAGCGTTTAGATCAACAACGACGTCATCCGTGAATCTAAGGCAACCACTACAAAAGAGAGCCCTCCGACCCAAAAATACATTGTAATAATGCCGGCATTGTTCCTGCTACCAGTAACAAGATAATAAACAAGGATTTCAAAGTTATGGTGGCTTACAAACAAACGTTCACGAGCTTCCAGCCACATTTTAAATCCTTAGAAGGTTGGTTAAAGAGACTAAAATCACAGCACCCCCCCCCCCTTGACGACGTATACGCTAAGTACTTCGATTCAACTCCAGTGGTTTCACCTTCAAATTGTTTAAATGTAGTCTTGAAAGCGTTCTACAACGGAATATATGAACTGTACCCACCGTAGAGAGCTAACCGAATTTTAGTATTATAAGACCTCAAGCTTATTAGTGGGCCACCAGGGGGCTACACGAACATTCAATGTTTTGTGGTAAGTTTGTCCGATGTGTGGTCTAAGATTAACCTCGCCGTCCTTTTCAAAAAGGCCTTGCGTGGCCTGCTAAATAGGACGATAGTTATGCAGTCTAAGGGTCGCGGGATCGAAAACAGTCTTCGAACATATGGATGGTGTTGACTAGCTACTTTTCCTCTAATTTATCACTTCAAAATTACGGATGACTAGCGTAGATAACCTTCGAGTAACTTCGCGTAAAATTCAACAAACAAGCATTTGTCGAAACTTTTGTCATTGAAAATTTGTTGTTTTCACCGAATGATGGCAGTCTTATTATTTTAGCGCAAAGTTACACTATGGAATATGTGCACTCTGTCCACAGCGGAGAATCAAGCCCCGAATTGTGGCGTTGTAAGTCCGTAAAGTTACCGCTGGCCTCCCTTGTGACAGTGGCAGCACCGAAGCTGGAACATGATTTTTATAAAGCGCGGTTGAACTACACACTACACATAATACGATTAAAAGTTATTACTCAGTGCTATCGTACCACAAAATTTCTAATACGCTGTAGTGGTTCTGTAAACGTATTAAACATTTCCCACTTGGTACAAACAAGTTGTCACTATTGTATTATACAACACGCTGTAGTGGTTCTGTAAACATGCACAACGAAATGTTTAATACCCACTTGGTACAAACAAGTTGTCACTATTGTATTATACAACACGCTGTAGTGGTTCTGTAAACATGCACAACGTATTAAACATTTGTGTCTCCGGAAGTATGCATTTCCGCAAAGGTCTGTTGAAAAGTATGCAACACATCACGCTAAATGTTAAAGTATGCAATACATCACGCTAAATGTTACATAATAATACGATGTCGTAGCATATCGTTATGTTACTTTATACGACGTTATAACAATTTATACGATTTAAATTTTACAGAATCTTGCAAGAGGTTCCGAAAGAAAATGTGAAAGAACATTCAATTCAACGTTCAAATAAATACAATGTGAATTACTTGAGCCATAAATGGCGTCATGGAATCAGACTTAAATGTTTACTAACAGACTTGCGGTAATGATATCAGACACAGTTATCTTGGTTGTATCATAATGGGAAGAATTAACCGAAGACATTCCAGAATCAAGACCGCATACAGATAATTACTTAATGCATAACGCCATCTGGTGCCAAACGAAGCCTCCGACGTATGATGAAGCTATGACTAATAAACAGTTTCCCTTGCAAAAGGTAATGTAATAACACGATTTTATGTGTGTCGGCATGAAGAATCAGGAGATTTTATTGTTTGTTTTATTGTTTTTTAGCCCCCCAGTAGCACAGCGGTATGTCTGCGGACTTACAACGCTAAAATCCGGGTTTCGATACCCGTGTTGGGCAGAGCACAGATAGCCCATTGTGTAGCTTTGTGCTCAACTTCAAAAACAACAACAACAGGTTGTTTTTTAAATATGATACCCAAAAATATAATAAGTACCAGAACAGAGCGGGACATTAACACTTACATTCAACAGTTCTGTTACAGACTCGTCTTACCCTCAATTACTGATTATATCACGAATCATCTTCAGATATGATATACATTTTTAATTACCACTATGCATATAAAACAATTAAAAACTATGATAAGAGGTTTTTTTTTGCCCAATTTTAACGGTAACGTTTTGATAATTACCGAGCTAAACATACCAAACACTATTCAGTTCTTTCTGGACTAGGGTAGCCATGTAAAAATTTCACAAAGAACTTTAGATATAGCTTGTGTGTATGTGTTATTCCAGCGTTTCTCAAACTCCCTGTGAATCTCACGTTTGCTGCATATACTTCAAATTGTATTAATAAGGACATATTCATTTTACTAAACAAAATTATGAATATTTTAGATAATATTATCGAAAATGAACGCCAGTCAGGCAATGAGCACATAACTGTATTGCAAAAGCAGCGAAGGGTATTGTAATGCCCTGAAAAGTTTAATTAAAACGAAAAGAATACCTTTGGCGTTCTATTTTACTTTAGTATTGTATATAATAACTTATTTCACTCTGGCCTAGTACATTTAAAAAGTGAAATAATTCAAAATAAGTTAGGTTTGAAATTAAGCACAAAACTACGTAATGGGCTATCCGTGCTCGTCTACCACGGGTATCGAAACCCGGTTTCTAGTGTTGTAAGTCCGCAGACGTGCCACTGTGCCACTGGGGGGGGCATACAAATAGGTATGTTATACTAATCAAAATTGAATTGTATACCTCTCATATGTACATCAAATTCAAAAATAAATTTTATAAACAATAGAGGTGTATTAGGACGAACGACACGTTTGAAGCAAAATAAAAAATATGTATTTAGAAATCCTTGATTATTAGCAAATATATATACTTAGATACAAAATCCTGAGTAATACACAAATATACATTTAGATATAAAATTTAGAACAACATACAAATACACATTTAATTGCAAAATCCTGAACAATATGCAAATATACAATTAAGTTCAAAATTCTGAACAAATTTCTTTATTTTTAGCTTATATAGCTAAACTACCAAATACAAGCGTGATGTAAAGTGTTTTTTTTTATTATTTGGCCTGCTATTACCAAATAGTCCTTACGTTTGTCATATAACTTTTTTTTTCAGGTTCTCACTTCCGATGTTCCTCCGCCATACGAATATTGTACATCTATCACTCTTTATTAGGAAGAAGATGTGTGTTGTAAGTTTTCAAAATCGTTTGAACAATCGGTTGAAACTAATAATTATAGGAATATGTAAGAAACCGAAACAGGTTATAAAGGGTTAGTTTTCTCATCTTTCAGAACAATTAGTTAAAATCAAGAATGTTTCAGGATAAACAAAAACTGAAGCAGATTATAAAATATATGTCTTCTCAATTTTTCAGAAAAACTAGTTAAAATTAAGAATGATTAAAGATATATATACAAGAAACTAAGTATGTTATGAAGGGTTTGTCTTCTCATCTCTCAGAACAATTAGTTAAAATTAAGAATGATTAAAGATATATATACAAGAAACTAAGTATGTTATGAAGGGTTTGTCTTCTCATCTCTCAGAACAATTAGTTAAAATTAAGAATGATTAAAGATATACAAGAAACTAAGTATGTTATGAAGGGTTTGTCGTCTCATTGTCTCGCACTAGAAATGTTATAAGTTGCTCTGAATAAAATCGACGCGAAAGTTCCAGACTCACTAAAAGGTCTACTTTAATGCTTCTTGCCATCAATTTCTTTTAATCAGTGTGCTGTACTACGAGCGCCCCCTGGTGGTTCAGCTTCAAGTCTAGGAGCTTACAACTCTAAACAGATAGCCTATTGTGTGGCTTTGTGCATAAAAACAAACAAACAAAATGTACTTAGGACGAACGTAAAGTATATACCAAAAAAAAAAAAAGATAGATAGTTAGATAGATCTTGACCACGTTGCTCTGTCATTTTTGTCTATGAACATATTCTGACCTTGTTACTTGATAAAGTTGGGCGTCGGCCAATCCTTGACCACGAGTTTTGACCCTACATCTAGACCAAAACTGATCCTGGCCAATGTCCTTAAACAGTGGATCACACCGTGTGATATTCTGTTTGAACATAAAAAAGTGAATTCAAGTTCAAATAAAACATTTACTTCCAGCTATGAGTTTGAAGATTTGTTTTGTATTTAAGGCTTGGGTAAAATATGTTGGATTAATAATAAAACCAAACCTGAAACTGGATAGAACCTATCGGTACACAGAGATCGTTGTAATCAATGAGGGAGTGCCTAATGATGTTACAATTACCAGCTCAGAAAGAACGTATGAAAAGTAAATTTAAGCTTTCACTTCCATACTCTCAGATCAATGTATTGCGCCTGTTACAAACTCAAAAACTTAGAGTTGGTTCGGTAGTATTTCTAGAATTAAACTAATGCTTTGCCAGTAGTTGGAAAAAAACAACGGGTACTTATTAAGAAAGAAGAATAAGAGATGGTATGTTTATTATTAATTATCACAAATCTGATTTTTATGTTTTTTTTGTTTTTTTTGTACTGAGTGTAAATCGCAAATAGTATTTATGGAGATGTAACTTCTTTTATCACTAGGAAGCCACGTTGTCATGTTCTTAATTTATCATCAGAAGTAGCAGTCGATATGATTATCAGGAAGCCTTACTGTCCAGTCCTCAGTTTGTTGCCAAGAGAACAATGGACAGGATTATCAGGAAGCCTTACTGTCAAATTCAAGAATAACAGTGGACAAAATTATGAGAAAGCCTTACTGTCATACATTTAGTTTGTTGTCAAGAGTAAGAATGGACAATGTTATCAGGAAGCCATATTGTTAAATATTTAGTTTGTTGTCAAGAGAACAATGGACAATGTTATCAGGAAGCCATACTATCAAATATTTAGTTTGTTGCCAAGAGAACAATGGACAATGTTATCAGGAAGCCATACTGTCAAATATTTAGTTTGTTGCCAAGAGAACAATGGACAATGTTATCAGGAAGCCATATTGTCAAATATTTAGTTTGTTGTCAAGAGAACAATGGACAATGTTATCAGGAAGCCATACTGTCAAATATTTAGTTTGTTGTCAAAAGTAACAACGGACAAGGTTATCAGGAATCCATATTGTTAAATATTTAGTTTGTTGTCAAGAATAACGATGGACAAGGTTATCAGGAGAACATATTGTTAAACATTTAGTTTGTTGTCAAGAGTAACGATGAACAAGGTTATCAGGAAGTAAACATGACAAATTTTCGCCACTTCTCTCACTAAAATCAAGAAGAAAATGTTACAGTTTTCTGCTACCAATAGCAATCAATCGTTTTAATAAATCTATGTAATGTACAGTTACAAAAAAGGCAATAATTATTGTAATTCCTTACTTTGATATTTGATTTTTTTTGTTCCACTCGAACTGGGGCATTTTTGTAAATAAATATTTTATTTACAACACAAAATGTCCATTTTTTTTACCTAAGTAGAACTTTGTCTTTGTGAAAATTATTTATAAAACTAATTGTAAGGTGATTACAGGAAGAACCTTTTCTATCAATTTAAAAGTGTAAATAATTGACCTGATTACCTACTAATAAAGTTTTTTGTTACTGAAACCGGTTGTTTCGTGTTTTCTTTCTAACCTCTAAGCATTCTTGTCGTTTCACGTTATATTCGAATTTAGTAAACTCCAAATTAAACCGGCTAAAGAAAACGTTTTATCATGAAGATAATTTTACACAAGTTATTTTATTTTTAGTAATTTTATCTTAGAGGTAAATCATGGGACTTACAATGCTAAAATCCAGAGTTCTATCCCGAGTTGGGCCGATCGCAGATAACCAATTGCGTAGCTTTACGCTAAAAACAAAATAATATATTATATTTTATTATTATTATATTAAGAACACATTTTACGAGTTCAAAAGTATGGGCAATATTACTGAATTTTGAAAAAACTTCTGGTAATTTCTTAGGCTACTGTCCACATCAAGAAAACGTAAAACAAAATGAAATATCTAAATCCTGAATCTTATCACCGAATATCGTATTATCCTATTGTGAGTGTGTTGTATCAAAGATTTTGGAATGTATGTGTATATTATGTTTATGTTATTTTTGTATTGTGTATTTTGTTATACTCTGTGCATGTATTCAAGCTATTGCATTAGGAAGACTTACCACTTTTCCTTTGTTTCTTGTGCCTGTTTTCTCTCGAGTTTTGCTTGTTGAAATCAAGTAAGACGAGATAAAGAAAGTAATGTCAATATAAAAAGCCACGCAGTAAACAGGACATGTTACACGAGCTGGTTTAACAAGATGGTTTCGTTGATGTCACCGTTTAAGGTCATCCGCCCACCTGGAAGTCAGAGGTGACCAAGGACTACTTAATTAAGCACACGTTTGACCTACATTAAAAGTCTAAACAGTGGTCTACTGCAGACCAATGGTTCAGTATTGACGCTGAAGTCAATAGAGAAGGATGCTGTTTTGGAGCTAAGAGCAGGAGGATCGAATCATAAGGTGGGTTTAATTGGTTTTATTGTACCTAATGTTCAGAAGTTAAATTCAAAATTATGTATAAGGAGAAAACTAACACAAGGTTTCTATCATCCAAAATATGGTACTTGAAATATGTGCCATATATACCATAACTTACACAATCGTAATTTTAAAAATATTGTTGTGTCCCAAAGTGACATTTGTGTGGTACCACAGATTGAAAATTGGCAGTAATGTACTCCGCCCGCTACATCTCAAATCTTAGACATAACAATAATACTGGAGCAAGATGATTCAGATTAGTATCGCCTAGTTACCACACACACACACACTGTAACTTATTCTATAAGTCCGGCTATAATTAATCAATGACATATTGGGCATTCATGTATGCATGTGTGACAACGACTCATAGAATTTCTTAGAAAATTTTTATAAGGCTTGTTAATGTGTAATTTTCAACAAAGTTTAAGACAAACTTAACTCGCTTTTGTATATACATACTAAGCAAATAGATGAAGTGGGTGGTTTCTTGATAGAATCGTCTAGCCATAGCCACTATAAAACGAGTATAACTATGGCTTTTTTCGTATATCTCCAGATAAAACAACCAGTAACATCCTGCGATGTTGTAAATAAAATTACAAGATTTCAGGACTACTGAGTAAAATTGCTGTAAATTAATCTCCAAATATAATTTATTATCTATGGACACTGTCCACTAAAAGCTAATGACTTTAGCCAGTGTCCAGTGTTTCTTCTTTATCTCAAAAGCTTTGCTCAATTTATGCCTGATCCGAGACCCGGAACTAGTTTTGAATATTTTTAGGCCTAAAAGTGGGAATATTTTAATTAATTTTAAGACTGTTTCGGTTGTATTATGAAATGATAGTTGGCTGACGCGGTCAGCTACATTACTTCCCCCCCCCCCAGCCCAGATAATAGTCTCAACAAATTTTAAATTGATATCTTCTAAAACTTAACTTTCCTCCACATCGGTCAACTGGGATCCGGTATTTTTTTTCTATAAGTTAAGCACTGCTAAAACTTAAATTAATGCTTTACACAAATTATGACTAGTTTCGTTCTTTTAAAAAACATCTGAAATAAAATAAAATAATGTAAAAATCACAAATATGGAGTCTTTAAAAGAAAACATCGCGAAACAAAGGTGAAAGTGTTAGAGTTGAGAGACCAGGAACAACCTGCTTGTAATGATTATATATATATGTATGTTAAAGGTCTTTGTGCTACTAACCCATTAGCACGAAGACTTGCGCGTGTCATACGCACGAGACAGGTTTTGAAGTACCTGAAGGACATCAACATCACTTACAGGAAAATAACTTCAAGGAAAAGGTAAAAGTGAATCTTCAACAGGTTTAAAATATACTTTAGAGTCTCCAATCCAAAGGTCATTTGTAAGCGAAATAAAGTAATAAACCTTATAATGGCGTTCATTTTGTGTCTTAAATGCTATCTGTGTACAAACATATTATATGACGTTACACCGTCTATCATGTTAGTAAGGCTCTTATAAAATTAAGAAGACTGAACATAATTAAAGAAATGCTCAACCTCAGATTAACCTATATGACATTATAACACACTTTGTAGAGTTCATGATAACGTGATGGCATATCACAGATTATGACAATCCCTGCATTTTAATCTCGTTCATACAGTTCTGGTCTTAACTTGCTGGATATAACACACTTTATAGAGTTCATTTCATAATCTGTGATATGCCATCACGTTATTGTTATATCCAGCAAGTTAAGACCAGAACTGTATGAACGAGATTAAAATGCAGGGATTGTCATAATCTGTGATATGCCATCACGTTATCATGAACTCTATAAAGTGTGTTATACCCAGCAAGTTAAGACCAAAACTGTATGAACGAGATTAAAATGCAGGGATTAAACTTTATAGAGTTCATGATAACGTGATGGCATATCACAGATTATGAAAATCCCTGCATTTTAATCTCGTTCATACAGTTCTGGTCTTAACTTGCTGGATATAACACACTTTATAGAGTTCATGATAACGTGATGGCATATCACAGATTATGAAAATCCCTGCATTTTAATCTCGTTCATACAGTTCTGGTCATAAATTGCTGGGTCTTTCATTTTTGAGATGGTACGTTTAAGTTTTTGTTCAAGCACACGTTTTTCAGTCACTGGATCATGGTACTTAGTTTAAACACAAAGAACAATAATACATTTCAAACATTATAGACTTATGACTCGTTTTTAATAATGCTTATTCTTTCTGTTATGATCACTGTATCGTGTTACTTAGTTTAAACAGAATGAACAATAATACATTTCAAACATTATAGACTTATGACTCGTTTTTAATAATGCTTATTCTTTCTGTTATGATCACTGTATCGTGTTACTTAGTTTAAACAGAATGAACAATAATACATTTCAAACATTATAGACACATGACTCGTTTTTAATTCTTATTCTTTCTGTTATGATCACTGTATCGTGTTAATTAGTTTAAACAGAATGAACAATAATACATTTCAAATATTATAGACACATGACTCGTTTTTGATAATGCTTATTTATTCCGTTATGATCACTGGATCATGGTACTTAGTTTAAAGAGAATGAACAATAATACATTTCAAACATTATAGACACATGACTCGTTTTTAATTCTTATTCTTTCCGTTATGATCACTGAATCATGGTAATTAGTTTAAACAGAATGAACAATAATACATTTCAAACATCATGTGTGAAGTACTTTACATTTGAACATCTATACTTTTAGTTCTAAAAGTAAATACTTCATCAGAACTTCAAAACGAGGCTGTTGTCTAATATTTACCTTGACTACGACTTCCTACCCATAGTAATTACTACAAGGAAAATTCGTCGTTTATAACAACAGCTTTATTTTGTTATTTACAGTTTTGTCTTGTTTTAAACCTGAACATCTTTAAAAAGCTAGAAAGTTATAAAACAAAACTATCCGAAAAAACGGGTGCCAGTTGAACAAGGATCTATCTGATGTGTAAATAACAATGAAAACAAGATCTAGCATAATAGATGGAAAATGTAAAGTATATTTCAAGCTACATCTTTCATAGATAAGTTACAACAATGAAAAAGCTGCGACTTTCTCACGTAATCTACAACAATGTACAAGCTGCTACTTTCTCACGTAATCTACAACAATGTACAAGCTGCTATTTTCTCACGTAATCTACAACAATGTACAAGCTGCGACTTTCTCATGTAATCTACAACAATGAACAAGCTGCTACTTTCTCACGTAATCTACAACAATGTCAAGCTGCTACTTTCTCACGTAATCTACAACAATATACAAGCTGCTACTTTCTCACGTAATCTACAACAATGAACAAGCTGCGACTTTCTCACGTAATCTACAACAATGTATAAGCTGCTACTTTCTCACGTAATCTACAACAATGTACAAGCTGCTCTTGTCATTGTTGTAGATTACGTGAGAAAGTCTGCGACTTTCGCACGTAATCTATAACAATGTTCAAGCTGCTCTTTCACGCATTCGCTACGGTAGAGTTCTAAACGTGACTTTCACGTAATCTACAACAATGTACAAGCTGCTACTTTTCTCACGTAATCTACAACAATGTACAAGCTGCTACTTTCTCACGTAATCTACAACAATGTACAAGCTGCTACTTTCTCACGTAATCTATAACAATGTACAAGCTGCTACTTTCTCACGTAATCTATAACAATGTTCAAGCTGCTCTTTCACGCATTCGCTACGGTAGAGCTCTAAACGTGACTTTCAAACGTAATATACAACAATGTACAAGCTGCTATTTTCTCACGTAATCAACAACAATGTACAGGCTGCTACTTTCTCACGTAATCTACAACAATGTACAAGCTGCTACTTTCTCACGTAATCTACAACGATGTTCAAGCTGCTACTTTCTCACGTAATCTACAACAATGAACAAT